ATTTATTTATTTATTTTTGTGACAGGGTCTCCCTGTAGCAAAGCCCCAGCTGGATTAAAGGCGTGTGCCACTACACCCAGCAGGTATTTTATTTCTTTATAAACTTTGTCTACTTACATTTATTATAATAGGATGCAACACTGATTTGCTAAAAAGGGGAGGTTAGATAAAATTTACTAGTATTTCAACCGTCAGTTCAACTGTCAGTTTTAAAACGTTTGGAACACTGCCTATTCAACTTGTTAAGGCAACGTGAGCACTGATAACATAAGGAATAACTATACTGTTTTATAGGTAACCATAGAGATTGGCTAGTGTGTTGAAGCGGACAGATAATGAAAATATGTTCAAATACATTTATATAATTACGATCGTAGCAATAATGATGATGATCAAAATACCAAAGTCTTATGTTTTGTTTTGTTTTGTTTTGTTTTAACACAGAGTCTCTCTGCAACCCCAGCTTGTCTGGAACTTGCTACACACACCAAACTGGCCTTGCTCTTACACAGAGCTCATAGAGCATGCCTGGCTTTTTGACAAATGACACTAGGTTAGTTTACATGATATTTCTAGCAACAAAAGCCCCTGGAATGGAAGAAGGAAAGCTCATTCTTTGTGTGTATGTTTAAAAGTCCACAGCTTGGGCTAGCCAGTATTTATTCCATGGCCAGAGTATTTTAAATTGATGTAAAGTTTTAAGTAAATTAGCTTTCATTCCCTGTTGGAGTTAAAATTTTATTTTATCTCCCTTCTTCATGTTTCAAGTTTCCGTTCTCAGTTCTCAGTCTTTATTTCATTCTGCTCCATCTAATACTGACTTGGGACAACAGTTCAGCCTTTGTCTCTACACAGATAAAAGTACCTGTAGGCAATGCTGTCTGTTTGTTTTATGTGTTGATTTCTCAAATCTGCAATAATCCATCAGGTTAATGTTTTTACCTAAAAATAAATAAAGTTTGCTCCACCTTTTTGTTCATTTAAAAAAAAGGAGGCCTGTCTCTGCCTCCTAAGTGCTAGAATTAAAGGTATGTGCCCCCACACCCAGCTTAAGTATTATAATTTCAAATTCTCTACTATGGTGATAACTTCCAAGCATTTTCATTAAAAAATTAATATTTGAGTCCTGAAGGCAAGTTTTCCCAAGTAAGGAAATAGGTCGATAGGACTTGTTACAGGGTCCTCTCACATATAGAAATATCACTTCCTACTCCAAACTGTTCTGGCTGAAGCAGGCTGGGATCATTTTTGGGCAATGTTGCTGGGTGCTCTGTGCTGCAAACAGCAGTCTGAAAACTACATTATACTCTGTCTTCACTCTTGACTTCAATATCCTTTTTGGTTTAGGCAATTCTACTGTAAAGATATTGTTGTATAGATTTTCATGTAATATTCACAGTATTTTACCATTGTTATGGTGTGATTTGTTATAGTATTTTTGTAAACTCTAAGATCTCACCATCTCTAAAATTGTGATCAAAATACAGTGTTATCAGAATAAATCTTACCTAAAATATACAATCTGGTGTTCTAAATAGAAGTAAGCATATTTTCTCAATGGTAATGCATGTTTACTTCTGAATTTCCAGCTGGGCAGATCTCCTGACCACTGACAAAACCCTAATTAACTATCATTTCACATCCTTCTCACATCATATCATGTTTCACATCCTTCTCACATCATATCATGTTTCAAGGATGTCAGTGCTTTCTGTATGCTTGTGCATGTATGAGAAACACATACTTCTACTTAAAAATATTGGTATATTATGGTTCTCTATCATTTTCAGGGTTGCAGTATGTCTTGAAAACTTGATCTTACCACATTTAAAAATCATTGCAATTATGGTACTGGAGAGATGGCTCAGCAGTTAAGGCTCTTGTAGCGGGCCTGGGGTCAGTTCCCAGCACCCACATGGCAACTACAAGGGGGCTAACAACCATCTGTAACTCCAAATCCAGAGGATGTGACACCTGATTCTGACCTCCTCGGGCACTGCAATGACATGGATGTACTTACATATATGCAGGCAATACACTCAAACATAAAATAAAAATAACTAAAAAAAAAAAAATCACTGTAGGGGTTGGAGAGGTGGCTCAGTGGTTAAGAGCACTGGCTGCTCTTGCTGAGACTTGGGTCTGATTCTCAGGACCTGTATGGTAGCTAACAACCATCCATAACTCCAGTTCCAGGGATGTGACACCCTCTTCTGATCTCCATGGGCACTGCACAACATGGGTGCACTTATATACACGCAGGTAATACACTCACACACATAAAATAAAAATAAATAATAAACAATATAAAAATCATTTTAACCAAGTAATTGTGCATGTATAATTTTAGGCATAATTGTGTAACTTGAAATATGCACATAAGAACATGCTTAGCATGCTCTTTTGGGTAGTGGCTGAATAAAAATTAGTAATACTGTGAAAGATGACTGGCAAATTCATGATTTTATATATAGCACCATTTAAAAAGAAGAATAGCTAAGAAAGATATGATACTTTATTAAAAATATTAGGAAATAAAAATATCACCCAGTTCTAAGCTGTTGTAAGAATGTAAAGCACAATAACCACCAGGACGTCTAAACAGATCAAGGTATTGTCAAAAGCACCAATGGAGCTGGAATACCCTCACTGAGTGCTGAAAAATGACAGAAAACAGCATCAGTGACTGATGAACAGCCTCTATACTGTGGAATTTAGCACTTTGGACTTTTAGATATGACAATTTTTCAAAAATTTAAAATAATTCTTATTACTTTCTCTTTAGTCTTTTAATTTCCAAACACTTCCTCAGGATTTGCACATAATCCCAACAAATGCAACAGACACTCACAGCCTTACAGATGGGTACTCCTTATTTTTCCATAATCCTGGTGCACTCACTGCTCTGTCCCAAGTCGACCACAGTTCAGCCTTCTACTCCCACCATTCCTCTCTCAGCCTAGACTGTCCTGCTTTCTAATCCTGTTTCATCACATGTAATTCTTGCATTTTAAAATTTCTACCTCTTCTGGGAAGGCTATAATTCTGTATTTCTTCCATCTCAGAACTCCTTAGCACTTAATGCCATCCATGCAGATGGTCATCTCTTAGAAGAAAGGACCTTGCACTGATGGTCTTCTATTAATATAGATTGCTAAGCTTCTTAAAGTTAGAATTTTCTACCTCTGACCATTTATTTACTCTTCTTTCCTTTTCTTGGAAGTAAAAAAGCTGATATAGAAGGCATCTTGTCTAACAGCCAGCCTCTTTCCATTCCACCAATGTAGGAACGCTCCCCATGATTCACTGAGATAGAGATGAAAGAGTGGTAACTGGCTTTATAAAGTTTTTAAAAGCTACAAAATAATACTGTGTGTCTTAACTATTCCCACTGAATTTAGTTTTCAATTTTGTAGGGTTTTCCTTCATGTCTCAGGATTTAGGGGTATATGAAAAAGCTACATTTAATTCCTACAATTTCAGCTTAGCAAATGGAGTAAACTATGAACACAATGAAAAAAAAAGAAAATATTTATACAAAGGGCAAAAACTCTTGATTTTAAAATGCTTACATTTTAAATAATTTAGATTATATTTGAATAAGAAATAATCACTTTGAGGTAAGAATTTCAGAGAAAAAAAAACCAGTCATTTTGGTAAATCTATTGATGCTGTGGAGGTGTGATATTACATGTAAGACAGATTATGTAAAATCTAATTAAGAAATTGAACAGTGTTCAATTTTATAAAAGAACATTTTTCTAAAATACAGCAAAAACCTTTAAAAAATTTCTAGTCTATTAGCACCTCCTAGTGGAAAGTTTAAAGGATACAATTCCAACCAATCGGAATTCAGAATAGTTATCACATTTAAAGCTGCTAAACCAATGGCAGTGTGAGTCCTTGTGATATGTAAACATTCCTGAAAAAAGAAAACACAACTTGTTCACATGATTTTAAAAAGTGCTAAAACATATATGACATCTCATCTGCCTAAGCAAAGCATTTTAGTAACTGTTCTGTTACAAGTCATCTTTCATGTTAAAAATTTCACAGATCCTTTAACAGGCCAAACATGTATCAGTAAATATATATGTATGTATATATGCAAAACATATAGAGATGGCATTTTATTTTTCTTTGATATTGAAATGAGGACAGAAAAGGTATAATTTAACATAACTTATAAAAACTATAGTTTTATAGCTTATGATCAAAATCAATTTTGAGGGTTATCTGGAAATTTCAATTTATCCTTGCCAATCCTATTTCCTATTATTAGAAAGAGTTCATATATAATACATATATATAGGAAGTAAGATATGTACAACCTATAAAATATAGAAATTTTTCCTTTGAAGGAAAACATTTAATAAATACTAATAATTATGTAGATGGTTTCTCTAAATAAAATTTAAATACTTTCGTCCTTAAAAATTAACTTGTGAATTCCTATTTCCTTGTGTGTGTATATGTATATGTGTATATGTGTGGTGTATGTGTTTGTATATGATCCTATATGTGTAGATATGTGGGTGCATGGGTACCTATGTGTGTGGAGGACACACGCTAACTTTGGGTGTCTTCCTCAGTTTCTCTCCACCTTATTTTTTGAAGTAAGACCCTTCTCTCACTGAATCTGGAGCTTGCCAAATTCAGCTAGATGGACTGGCAGCAAGCTCTAGGGGTCTACCTGCCTTCCCCAGTGTTGTGCGCCCCCCAGTGTCTGGCTTTTTACATGGGTGCTGGGGATCCAAATTCAGATTCTCACGTTTGCTTGGCAAGCACTGACTAAGTTAATTCTCCAGGCCATGAATTTCTACTTCTTAAAATGACTCACTATTTAATGAAAGGAACCTCACACACTAGTACAGAGCAAAGTATAGCTTTGTTTTTAAATTCTGATTGCTCTTTATTTCTGTGACAAATTAAATTTTCATGCATTTGTCTTATTTGAGAAAAATATGGATATTTTCTTACAAATGTGTTACTTTCAGTCTAGGTATATTCCAAGTAAGATAATTAAAATAATCAATCATCAATTTGGTCAAATGTTTTAAAAAAGTATAGTCTTTAAGTAATTACTCAACACTTAAGGCTGACAAAAAGTTTATGTCTATAAAACTACAGAGAAGTCTAAAAGTAAGGGCTGGTAACCTGACTAACAATTATGTATAAACAATGTTTATAAAAATTAAATACTCACCATAATCTGGATGAAAAATCTGGCGAATGAGAAGAAGGAACCATTCTTTAGTCAAGCCACCCATATCCAAACCAGCTTCCCCTACAAATGTGACTTTCAACTTCTTTTTCAAGTCTGCTCTTTTCCGGGTTAGCTATTTGAAGACGTTATGTAGTAAAGAAGGACAAAGGGTAATGAAAGAGAATTTAAAAAAATTCTCATCATTCCGGGAATGATGTTAGGCAATTTTTACCTAATTTTCAGTGCAATAAACCCTGTCCATCCACCCATCTACCCATCCAGCCATCCACCCACCCCATTCATTCATCCATCCATCCATCCATCCTTCCTTCCTTCCTTCCTTCCTTCCTTCCTTCCATTCATCCTTCCATCTATCCAATGTGTGTGAGACACTATGAACTTGGTATTATGATATTTATTTTATAGATTAGGAAAAAGAATTAAAGAGGTCAAACTGCCTTGACAAAGGTTACTGCCTTTCAAGACTCAGACTGTCTCCAAAATTATAATTAAGCAAAATGTAAAATAAAAGTTATTTCCCTTTTAGTACTCTTTCAACACTAATTTTGTTTTAAAAAATCACATAGATAAAAACAGTTTTTATCTGTAACAGCTACATGATGGTCTGAGTGAAGCAGTACGTGAGCAGGAACTTTACAACACACTTTGATGCATCAGTGTTTACATGCATCTGAACTGGTCTATATACTCCTATAGTCCAGACCTGTAATTTTATAGATGAACATCTGAGGCCTGGAGAATTTCAAAAGACTTGTTACACACTGAATCAGAAAGAGCAATGGATGGGTCTAGAGTCCAGGTAACATACTAAGAAACTCGAATTATTAATTTATATATTGTACATTAACTCTCTCTCCAAGGAATTAAGGAACTATTAATAAACACATAAAAATGAATATGTCTTATTTATATAAAACTGATTTTTAACTGTATCAGAATTTATAGAAACATACTTACTGGCACATAGAAACAACAGCTTAGGAAAATTTTAGTAATAAATCATATAATATAGTTTATTTAAATTTTTAATCAACACTATTTTGGAATAAATTATACCTCATCAAGTGAATCGCTAACCAGATGTGTCCGCCTCACTTTCATATTTAGAAATAACATATTCATGTCAGGTCTCTGTCTTCGAGATACTTTATCCACCAGACTTTGCTAATTAAATAAGAAAGCAAACAATTTCACTTTACTTAAACTATAATCTCATTTAAAACACTTAAATGCTTAGTCAAAATTACTGAATTTTTGTTTGTGCTACAAACAAATGTCTCTCATATAGACACTTCATAAAATCATACATTTACTTGAGAAAACATCTTATTACTACTTTATTTTGGAACAATGATAACCGATGGGGGACCAAAAATCATTCAATTAAATCAACAGGCTTAAGCTATTTTAGATACTGAATTAATCCTAAAGGCAGAATTACTCTACTTTTAAAAAGTAGAAAGTAATTTGTCTATGGTTATCAAAGACCTTTACAATGTTCAGACCTTTTTCCTAATAATTCTACTTCTGGGAATTTTAAAGATAGGAAAATATTCTAGTCCACTAAAGCTTTAGAACTATCCTAAGTATATCTAGTTAATGGAATATAATGCAGCTACTAAAAATGATGATCATGAAAAGAAAACTATGTAAACAGTACAAACAGGGAACAAAATTATGTGTACAACACTGTGTTGACCTTTAAAATTATCAAAGAAAATTTATTAACTGTTAGTAACAGATATGCTTGAGTGATAGAGATATGCGTGATTAAAAATTCATGTTTCTTCAAAATATAAGCACTGAGTATATAAAAACCAACATATTAAAATGTATAAGAAACAAAAATGTCATTATATAAAATAGACATGTTTATATATTTACTTATCTAGGTAATCTTTATCAGACTACTTTGTCACCATTGGTAATAGTGGAAATGAATTCTATGCAGATAGAGATGAACATTTTAGACATTTGAAATACGTACAGTAATTTGCTGTAACATAAAATTTCATGCCCCAAATCTATGTAATTTAAGACGACTTAAGATCTTGTAGATTAGTGTTACAGAACACTAATTCTGAGCCTCCTCCAACCCTCCAATATCCAATTTTAAAGACTTGCAGCAGCTTTTTGGTTCTCCTAGCCCTCCCTTACAAATGAGATCTGCATTCCTGGATGGTGTCCTGGGTCAGATCTTTTTTTTCCTACCCTTTCCTGACTTCTGTTCCTAGACTTGCCCCTATGGAGCTGTCAGAATGGAGATACTAAATATAGTATCTAACTTATATTAGGATGGTAATGGACAAGCTTAGGGGTTATTTTTTCCATTGGAAATTTCTATTTGTCATAAAAGTGCTCCAATGAAAGAAATAAGCCAACAAAGATAGAATTCTAGACAGTCTCACTGTAAGGACCACCCCTCCTTGGCCATTTCAGACTGTACAGGATTTAAGCTCTCATTTATATTAATTCCTTTTATCAAAATAACCACCAGCCATTAACCCAAGTGGTGTGGCAGTTGGGAAGAGTCTGTAAGGACTGATAATGCTGTCTGACACCAGTCTCTACCCATTTCCTCCCATGTTCTGTGAAAGACAGCTTGTGATAGCCAATACCTGCTGCTCCACAGATTCATATTTAATACCTTACGTGAGTGGCTGATGACTGCAGAGAAATTTGCATAAACTAGCCCTTTCTGTTTTCCTTAAAATATAACAAATCACACAGTCAACATGAAAAAAATACTTAAAAAGAAGGCACATGACACAGAAATTCAAGTAAGACAAAATGTCAAAATGACTGGCTATCCAGATTAGCCTTTGAGCCAGCATCTGGTGCTAAATACACCCGTTTAAACTTATTCTGCAAGGCATGTGGCTTTGAAATTACCTTTGGGGCCACAGGCAATAAAACTTCTTCTAAGAGTCTCATACTCAGTATGAGTTGACTTTCAGAAGTTAGCAATCACTGAAACCTTTGCCCTTCTCTGTGACAGAAAAAAATGTTTATGGGAACTGAACTGTTAAAAACAAAGACTTATTTTTATAATATTTTAAAATATTATATGCTTTTTTTTAGATTCTTGAACAAAACATGGAAAGGTTTTTAAATTTTATTATTTTAAGACAACTATAGCCAAGTTTCTCTTTCATCTTTAAAGTTGTAAGCAATAACGTTACACAGTAGGAGCTTGAAACACACAGGTCTTCGGATGTGCAGTCTGAGCTCCAACTTTAAAAAGCTCATTTAGTGTATTCTATAATGTACATAGCTTTATTGTGCTCTGCTAAGCACGGTGCATGGCACTAAGGCCTGGTCCAGAGATACACATCATCCTGTTCTATAATTTGCCTAGATTAAGCCTGGATACTCTCTTAAGTTTCTGTGGGTCCTCATGCATTTTGGCTAAGAACCAATTAGAAAAAGACAAAAAACAAAACAAAACAAAAACAAAAACCCAAAACAAAACAAAACAAAAACTCTCATAAAACTAACTTTCTTGGGGGCATATTCTCAGTTTTTGTTACAAAATCTAATTTCTTGGTTGTTTCTGATTTTCATTTGCCCTAGACAGTGTTTCAGTGAGTGACTTGTGTTAAGGGCCTTCCTTGCCTCACCACAGTCTTCAGAGATGCTTTCCTGGCTACTTGGAACAGGAGTTCTACACAAAATGAAGTCCAACAAGTTCCTCAATTCTGGATCTGTCAGAAACATTCTGCTACATTTGTAATATAATGGGAAACTCATTAGGTGAGAGGTGCAGTGTCTCCCATTTTGTGAACAGGTTTAACCACTTTGGGGGGGCAATAATATAAATTACTTTGAATGTTTCCTGATTACACTAGAACAATTCACAAGACAACTTATTTATTATTTACTATATTGACTATAGTCAGCACAAATATTTTTCATAGCTGGCTTACCCTTGCGATGCTTATCATCTGTTGCTCTGAGTCTCTCTGAATAATGGTTTTTTTTGCAGCTATAGAAATAACGAATGGGTACTGACAGAAGGAAAACCTGCTCAACAAGTGAAAACAGAAAAAGCAAAATGGTGTATTTTTAGCAAAATTACACTAAGGGAATCTAAGGTACCCTCCTTGCAATATAAAGCATTACTTTTGTATTGTGTATTACCATTTACAAAATGATTTTATGTGCATGATTTCATTCCCGTAACCCTGTGAAAAGCGTATCATTACTAGAAGTGCAGTGTCTTCATTCTCTAAAGGAAGCCACAGCTAACTTCCTAATGTGGGTTCCTCAGGTATACTGTTCACACAAATCATTCAGTTTGTAGTCACCTGCATTATCATCACCTGTGAAAAACATGGTCAACCCCAGAACCAGGAGGCAGAAGTGCTAATGATGGAGAAATAGGACAGAAACTTGTATGTTCAAATGAATACAAAAATCCATTGTTAAAGGGCTATTTTGGTATAAATGTCAGCAATGAAGAAATACAGCAATAATTACAGCATGCAAAAAGCAAAACAATAAATTTAAGAGCAATATAATAAAAGTTTGGAAAAATGTTATTAGTACTCTATTTAGCAGGATAGAAATATGAAATGGGGTATACTTGTGAAGATACAACATCATCATCAAAGGTTATGAAAATAACTTGTTTCTTGGATCAGACTTCAGTCTTAATATTATGTACAAAAGCCATGACCTACAGGCATAGATGATCAGGAAGAATATGGCAGTCAAGACACCTTAGGAGTTGACTCCCATCCCAAGTGATTGCGGTGTGGGCTGGAGTATGGCTCAATGGTAGATGTGATGAATTCATCAGTTACTAGTTGGACTCCATCTGAACAGAATATATGATATCTCTGGAACCACTGAGTGCAATGACGGCATGAGAAAAAAGAGATAGCCCTACGGCGTACTGAACTAGACAGCTTTAACTGGTAAAAAAAAATGTTAATTAACATGAATGCTCAGTACTAGTGTATAATAATTTAGAATCACTAGAGCTACAAGTTTAGAAATAAAAGAAAATGCAATTAACTTAATAGGATATATGTTGGTTTCATTATATACTTTAAAAACAGTGCTTCTTAATCTTTCTCATTTTGGTAAAATAAAAAAAGATAGTCTTTGCATGATGTACCCAGATAAAGAGATGAAACTGCTCATGGTCAGTGGTGACTTGCCCTAAGACTCCAGATCCCATTCCAGATTCCAGCTGGCTGCCGGTGACAGGATCTTATCAAAACACCCACGGAGCTTCTTGTTGGCACACTCCACTGGGCAGTGGAATAGTGATTAGAGGAAGCTCTGTATCAAAAGATACCACTGAAAAACATGCAACTCTTAGCTTGTTTTATGGTCACAATTATATTAAAATGAGAGGGAAAAGTATCTTTATAAAAGAGACTTTGCCAAGTAAATATACCCTAGGCTGACTAGAGTCCCCAGAAAATACGTGTCCAGTTCTGAATGTTCATATGTGAACCAAGATTTGTTCAGAGGGTCATTGTATATTTTAGGACAATTCTGGCAGCATCCCTGGAAAATGTAACCAATGTATAGGTTTAGCTGGTGTTTTCAGATTATTTATATCTCCTTAAGAAATCTGAATATTTCATATTTTGAGATAAATTGTTTTGGATAGTCTTGCTAATTTAATCCAAAGTGGAAGTATGGACAGAAAGTACAGTGAATTCAAGAACTTGGCCAAGTACTAAGAAAGAATCTATTACATTAAATAATCTTTCTGTAAACACTTTTTGTGAGAATAGGGGAGAGAAGGAGTGAATGTTATGTATCAATCGACCAGGACTGGCACACTATGGTCTCCAACACAGGTACGGTTTATTACCCATTTTTGAAAATAAAGTTATTTGGAACACAGACACATTCATTCATTTACATATTGTCTACAGCCTTTTCATTCTAATATATATAGTTCATGGGACTGAGAAAGATTTATCTTCTAGTCCTTATAGAAAAAAAATATGTTGCCCACTGTGCTAAGATGACAGCCCATAGAGTAAGAAAACACAAGTAACTGCATACCTAGGGAAGAACCCCTCCTTCCTTGAAAAGATGCTAGTAACATATAAATAAACACAAAATGTAGCAAAAAATAAAACATGCTGATAAATACGATGACACTTTAAGGTTAGATATCTAAAACACATGTGCTTATATATAAAGGTATATACATTTTATTTATACAAATTTCAAATTTAGTTGTTATTTTAAATAGTGTTTCATTTGGGTAAATAATCAAATAAACTGCTGATCATACCTGTGAGAATTTCCAAAGCTCTGCCAAGTGTGATATTCTTCCATGAGATCAATGTGATCCAATGTAGAATTATAGAAGTCAGTATAAGGAACAAGGGGAGGGTGAACCAAACTGTTTGCAGTATCTGTAAAGATAAATTCTAATATAATGTTCTTTTGCAACATACACATGATTCATTCTAATAATAAACAGATTATTTTAATGTCTACCAGCTAGCCTTGACTTAAATTCCTGTTGTAAATAACTGTTGTTCCCATGACAAAGGCCATTTGAACATTGTGGTCAAACTATAGACATATCTTACTCTTAAAAACTTGTGATGGGGATCATGAGAATATTTAAAGGAGGCACAGACTGCTCAGTTGTTTCTCTACCAGTGTGCTCTCTTCTAGGAGAGTACATATGTACTCCAGTGAGAGTTCATATATTCTCAGGAACCAATACTTAGTGGATCATATATATTTAATATCTATTATACAGAATAATGCTCAGTGAAAAACAAAGATTTTTCTAGCTTTATAAATTATAAATTTTATAAACATAACAGAAAATTACATGTTTTCTTTTAAGAATGGCTCTACAGTACTCTGAGGTCCTTAAGGCCAATCTCTAATATTTAATAACAGAAAAGTAAGGGTGACAGAATAATAAAAACCTACTAAGTAAAGCCAACACTTTAGATGCTGATGGAATCCACCAGGAACACTTTGTTATAGGTGGAAATTCTTCAGGCTTTGCAGGAAACAGGCGTAAGGAAATAAACTGCAGCAATCTCTCTACCAATTGTTTGAATTTCTTCTGGGATAATCTGGTAAAGATTTTGAAATAATTCCAATAAAAACTTTTTCTATTTTGTCAATAAACTTGCTAGAGATCAAACTACATTCTATACACATAAAATCTTTAGAGCATTCATTGTCTCAAATCATATTTATTAAATTGCCAACATTTCAAAAGATATGAAACCTTACCATGAATACTGTTTCTCAAGTAAGAAATAAACACCAAAATTACTATCAAGTTAATAATATAATTTTAAAGCTTTCAATATTTAGTCAATTTTCATTATTCACAAATTTTGTACTTCCAAATTAGCTAGTGTGCTAAAATTTGTTTAAAACTCCAAAATCAATACTTGTCCTTTCATGGTCATTTGTAGTCATACAAAAAATGGTGTAATTAAGTCTCATTTAAGGGTGACACTCTTAATAGGCTGACCAGGGTCCAGGGGATGAACCCACACCGAAGGACATCTGGGGACACAAACCTGAGTATAAAGTTTGGTGGGGGGCAAGGGGTGCAGATGTGGGAGAGGATCTAAGTATGATTAAGATGTATGAAATTCATGAAAATTCAATTAAGATGGAAAAAAAAAAACCCAGCCCCACAACGGTGAAAACTGAGCTGTCTGGCACACACAAATGAGGTTGAACAAGATGATGCTCAAACTTCTTTCACTTCTCATACTGTAAACAACTATCCTCTACATGGTCTAGTGGCATGCTTTTCATATTTTGGTGCTTATGATGATTTTGTTACTTCAAATGGTCCTTAAGCTAGGGATGACAGTGCACACCTGTAATTCCAGCACGTTGAAGGCTGAGACAAGAGGACTGTGAGCTAGAGACCAATCTGGGATACACAGTAAATTCCAGGCTAGTGTGAGGTACATAGTTAAGACCCTATCTCAAAAACCAACAGCAAAAACAAGTTCATCATGTAGTAATTACGTGCTGTCTAGTTTCAATGAACAGAAAGACTATGATGTACCTTATGGAGAACGTGTATATGTTATATAAGCTTCATTCAGGTGAGATTTATAGTGCAACTGTCATGAACTCAATGTTAACCAGTTAACTACATAAAATAAGGTGTCTTTAGTTAGAAACAAAATTATGCCTCCATCAGTTGACAAAATTGTGACCAGAGGCTCTTAGGAACCTAACTCTGAGCAATGGCTCAGTCAGTATTTGCTAGTTCAGTGTTGGTGGTGGCTTTGTAGAATGCACTATTGTGAATACTGAGAACTGACAGCACTGAATTTTATTGTGGAAATATTTTGCCTTTTTAGCTTTTACCCATCACAGAGAAAAGTCTATTACTGTAAAGAGAGTTCTGAGGGAAAAAGAGTACTGTGCTTTTACACTTAGATGTTTCTAATAAGGTAAGGAGAAGCACTGTTTATATAATGGTAAGATTTGTTAATAAACAGACAGGAAATAAAAGGATACACATTAAAGTAATGGTTAAGCAAATCCAGCTGATATGAAAAACCAGCAATAGGCATGTGCCACATACAAATGGGAAGTGGTGGATATTTATAATAATTTGCACAAAACATGATTATTTAGATTAAAAACAGATTTTTACTTTTATGTACTAGTATAGTTTTTGCAACTGGCGTTTGAAGCATTTCAAAATATAAGTATAATTTCTAAAAAGTTGTTAAAACATTCAAATATGGTAAAAGTTTACAATATTGTATTGTAAAATTACTAATATCACATTTAAAACTGTGAGCCTATGAAAGTTACAGATTACAGAATGATTTACTTTTTAAGCCAGTGAACTAGGAAGTGATGGTCAGCTTCCACTAAGGCAGCTATCTGTCGCAGCAAATGAGCATAGATGACATATGTAGATGTGCTATTAAACTGAGGATTCTGGAAAAGATATTAAGGACATCTGTGTTAAAATCGTGTTAACAAGGAAAACCATAAAGCTTAATGAATTAAGTGGTAGGAAGCTAAATCAGAGATTATAAAATTCTTTAAAGCAATAATCTACTTGTTATTTAATTAGCAGAGACTGATTCCTGATGCAATACAATGCACAGGCTTTGAAGTTATGGACAGATCTGCATCCGAGGGCTGATTCCTACTACATATTAGCTGTGTAACATTAAGCATGGTTTTAAATTTTTGATTCTCAATTTCCTCATCTGTAAAGTGGAAACAATAATATCTATATTAAGAGTTTCTTTCAATTTTAAAAAAGGAAACATATATAAAGCACCCAGCTCAATCTTTCATAAATGCTGACATTATCCAATTCAACAAGAATGTGGGTTTTTCTTGATTAAAAAAATGCCAGGAAAAAAAATGTCAGGAAAACGAAATAAAAGCTAGTTGGAAGTATTTGTAAACCAAGCAAAGCCTGTACTTCTGGCTCCAAAAACCTAAAAACTCTATTATAATGTACATTTTGGAATTTTCTATAACAATGACTATTATTAGAAATTAATCACAACTGAGAAAAAAGAGGACAGTCTCTGTTAGTCAAAAGTGATTAACCGGAGGGGCAATTTAAAAGGAGGCGACTGATAACGTCATGTTGCCATCTTGTGCTTTTCTTTCTCTTCGTGTTTCCTTTTTTCTTCTAATTTTGCCAATTTTTGTCTATTTCTTTACTCGTATCTCTCTTGGTCACTTTTTTCCTCCCCATTTAAAATTTTGTTCTCTCTTTCCTTTCCCATACTTTCGTTCTAGAGCATGACAGTGATAATACCATAATACTGAATTTAATACTGCATCTTATTATATTTTTATCTCAAGTGAGTTAATATACATTAATAACTTTTATAAATTATAAAGAATGATGCAAATGTAATGTTAACTAAAATATT